CAGCAGGCCAAGGGATGCTCAGACAGTGAGATCCCTGCCTGCCAGCCCTCCCAGGTGCTGCTCACCTGGCTGCTCCAGCAGAGCAGGGCAAACCCTGAAGCCGAGGGACATCAGACCTGCTAGAGCACTCCATAAACAACTCGGGACCAGCATGCTTCTCCCTGGCACAGTCAGGGATTGAACTTGGGGACCTAGGGACAGGCACACAGGCCAGATCCCATAACCCCAGGACTCGATTGTGCTGCTCAGGGGCACAGAGGGGAGATGTGTGAACTAATCTCAGGATGCACAGGACTCCATGTGGGCAGAACTGAAAGGAGAGTGCAGTGTCGATCCCAGCCACAGCACACTCCTGGAGCACACATCCCTCCATAAGAAAGCTGTGCTCTAGGCCAGGAGCAAGATCCTGGACAGGGACGCTCCCAGCCTGCAGCAACAGTGCTGGTGAGCTCAATTAGTTCAAACTCCTGCCTGTGGCCAGATGCCAGAAGGAAACTGCAGGGCAGAGGATGGGGGAAGAAGAGGGAATCGCACTCCTGAAAGCCACTTTGTGAATCTCAAATGGCCCCACACCCACAAGCAGTTTCAGGCTTGGCAGGGCTGCTTCAGCCTCTCCCTGATGGCTTTCCCAGTGTCTGGAAGCCAACCCTCAACCTCTGCCATGATGGCTCCCTTGGTGCCTTTTGTGGAGCCTGAAGGCAGACTCACTGGACTCAGTCCCACCCAGCCTAACGCTTCCACCCAGCACTGCTGTGGTGGAGAATAAGGACTCACCTGGAAGCTCCAGGGCTACAAATAAAATAAATATACTTAACCAAGGAGGTGAACGATCTCTACAAGGTGAGCTACAAAATATTGAGGAAAGAATTCACAGATGACACAAATGGAAAAGCATATCATTCTCATGGATCAGTAGAATCAACATTGTTAAAATGTCCATACTACCCAAAGTGATTTACAGATTTAATGCAATCCCTATCAAAATACTGTCATACTTCACAGATCTATGAAAAAAATAATTCTTTGTTTTATTTAGAACCAGAAAAGAGCCCTAATAGTCATAGCAATCCTAAGCAAAAAGAACAAATTTGGAGGCATCACATTACCAGACTTTAAACTTTACTACAAGGCTATAGTAACCAAAACAGTATTGTATTGGTACCAAAATAGAGACATAGACCAATGGAACAGAACAGAGAATCCGAATATAAAACAGTCTACCTATAGCCAACTGATCTTTGACAAAGCAGAAAACAAGATACACTGAGGAAAAGAAACCCTAATCAATAAATGGTGGTGGGAAAATTGGATAGCCACATGCAGAAGAATGAAACAGGATCCCTACTGCTTACCACTCACAAAAATTAATTCAAGATGGATAAAATACTTAAATCTAAGGCATGAAACCATAAGAATTCTAGAGGAAAATGTAAGAAAAACTCTTCTAGATACTGGCCTAGGCAAATAATGCATGACTAAGACCCCGAAGGTAATTATGGCAGAAACAAAAATAAATAAATGGGACTTGATTAAATTAAAACACTCTGTACAGCTGAGGAAATAATCAACAAAGCAATTAGGCAACCTAAAAATGGGAGAAAATATTTGCAAACTATACATGCAATAATGGACTAACATCTACAATCTACAAAGAACTCAAAGAAATCAGAGAGAGAAAAAAAACCATTAAAAAGTGAGCAAAAGACATGAACAGAAGTTTTTCAAAAGAAGATAGACAAGTCGCCACCAAACACATGAAAAAATGCTCAATGTCACTAATCATCAGGGTAATGCAAATTAAAACCATAATGAGGTATCACCTTATTCCTGTTAGAAATGGCTTTTATTTAAAAAGTCCAAAAACAATAGATACTGGTGTGGATGCAGAGAGAAAAGATACCCTTATACACTGTTGGTGGGTCTGCAAACTAGTACAACTTCTATGGAAAACAACATGGAGGTTTCTCAAAGAACTAAAAGTAGTCCTACCATTTGTTCCAACAATTCCACTACTGGGTATCTATCCAAAGGAAAAGAAGTCATTTTATCAAAAAGACCTGCACTTGAATGTTTATTGCAGCATTATTTACAATTGCCTAGATGTGGAATCAGCCCAAGTGCCCATGAATTCATGAGTGGCTAACAAAATGTGGTATATATATACCATGGAGAACTACTCAGGCATTTAAAAGGATGAATTAATAATGCCTTTTGGCTTCATCCCAGGGATGCAGGGATGGTTCAACATACGTAAATCTATAAATGCAATTCACCACATAAACAGAAGCAAAAACAAAGGCCACATGATTCTTGCAATAGATGCAGAAAAAGCTTTTGACAAAATTCAACACCCTTTCATGATACGAACACTTAAGAAACATAGCCATAGAAGCGACTATACCTAAAAAATGATACAAGTCATATTTGACAGACCCATACCAACATCGATACTGAGATGGCGAAAGATTGAAATTCATCTCACTTACGAACTGGAACCAGCTAGCGCGGCTGCCACTATCTCCACTTCTGTTCACATAGTCTGGAGAGTTCTTTGGTACAGCAACTCAGACAGGAAAATGGAATCAAAGGTATCGCAAATAGGGGCAGAAGAGACAAACTTCACTGTTTGCTGATGATATGATATTGTTATCTAGGAATAATCCCCAAGGATTCAGAACCATAGAATATCCTGGAGACTGATCAATGAATTTAGTAAGAGTCTCAGGATACAAGAATCAATACACAGGAAATCAAGAGGCATTCATTACGCAACAACAATCTAATTGAAACAATCAAAGACTCAATTCCCTTCAGCGAATACAACAAAGAAATTAGAATACCTATGAATATATTTAACCAAAAGAGCGCTAAAAACCGTGCTACAGGAGAACTATGAAACACTGAGGAAGAATAGCAGAGGATGTAAACAGATGGAAATCCATACCATGTCGTGGATCGGGCAGAACTCCAATATTCATCAAAAATGTTATTACTACCCAAACTGATACAGATTCATGCGGAAATACTATTAAAATGCCATCAGCATTCTTCACAGATATAGAATAAAGATAATTTTACGCTTCGTATGGAACCAATAGAATGACCGCCAATATCAATGAGCATTCTAGTGCAGACAAAAACGAAAGTATGGGAGGCATTGAATATGCCAGATATCAAACGTGATACTACAAAGCTGTAGTAATTAGAAACAATATGGGTATTGGCACAAAAACAAGGAATAGGTTGACCAGTGGAACGAGATGTGGAGAATCCTATACAGAACCATCCATATAGCCATCTCATCTTGGACAAAGCAGACAGCAACATACGCTGGCGGAAAGGAATCTCTCTTCATATAAATGGTGCTGGGGAAAACTGGATAGCCACCTGTAGAATGGCTAAAACATGAGACCCGAGCACCTCAGCTCTCACAAAACCAACTCAGCGCTGGATAACAGACCTTAAACCTAAGATATGAAACTATTATGAACTGCAAGAGAAGGAAGTTGAAACACTCTCTAGACATCGGCCTGGGTAAAGAGATGATGAAAAGTCCCCAAAGGCAATCACACACAACAAAAATAAAATAATGGGACAGATCAAGACTAGCAAAGCTTCTGGCACAAGCCCAAAAGAGAAAAAAATAGTCATGAAATAAACAGACAAGCCTACAGAATGGAGAAAATTTTGCATCCTGGATGCATGCCGATAAGGCGATCTGATAACTAGAATATACTTAGAACCAGCGAAAATTAGGAAGAAAAAATCATATAATCCCAGTTAAAACGTGGGCAAAGGACTTGAACAAATTTTCTAAAGGAAGACAGGAACGAATGGCCAACAAACATGATGAAGAATATGCTCAACATCTCTGAAATCATCAGGGATAAATGGCAAATGCAAAACCACAGGAGATATCACTTTAACCCCAGTTGAGATATGGCCCTTTATCAAAAATCTCCAACAATAAATGCTGGCGTGGTTGCGAGGAGAGAGAACCACCCTACACGCTGGTCGGGACTGCAATAGTTCTACCTCTGTGGAAAGCAATATGGAGATACCTTAAAGCGTACAAGTGAATCTACCATTTCATCCAGCAATCATGTGCTGGGCATCTACCAAATGATCCATGACACCTACAAAAAAACACCTGCACTCGAATGTTTTATAGCAGCACAATTCATAATTGCAAGGCCTGTGGAAACAGCCAAGTGCCCATCAATCCTAAGAATGGATTAAGTAAAATGTGGTATATGTATACCATGGAGTACTATTCAGCTTAAGAAACATGGTGATATAGCACACCTTATATTTTCCTGGTTATGAGCTGGAACCATGACTACTAAGTGAATTATCCCGAAGAATGGAAAACAACACCAGATTATTCTCCAGCAAACTGGTATTAACTCGAGTAGCACCTAAGTGGACAACATAGGTACTACAGTAATAGGGTATTGGCAGGTGGAGGGGGAGGGGGTGGTTGGTAATGACAGTACATGAATGGAGTGAGATGTGCACCATCTGGGGGATGGTCATGATGGAGACTCAGACTTTTGGGGGGAGGGGTGAAATGGGCATTTATTGAAACCTTAAAATCTGTACCCCCATAATATGCCAAAATTAAAAAAAAAATTAAAAAAAAATAATAATGCCTTTTGCAGCAATTTATATAGAATTGCAGTCCATTATCCTAAGAGAAATATCTCAAGAATGGAGAAACAAACACCACAAGCACTCTCTAATAAATTGTAATTAACCAAGGGGTACACAGGTGCAAAGAGGGAAGTAAAAGTCATTGGAAATCAAGCAGAGTGATGGGCGGAGAAGCGGAGGGACAGAAACCTACCTAACAGTACAATGAACACTATTCAGGTGATGGGCACACTCATAGCCCTGACTCCAGCATTACAAAACCTATCCATGTAACAAAAACATCTGTAGCCCCTTAAAATTTTGAACTACATAATTAAAAAGAGATAATCCACAAATGCAAATCTTACTTTGACTGCATCCAATCCATGAGATGTTTTATTATCTTCAACAACTGCAGTAAATTTTTGTCTAACTATTAGAGGCACATTGCCAGTCACAACATCACTGAAGTAGATCGACTCATTAATCAAGCCATAATCACAAAAGAAATTTGTCATAGCTCCTTGCACAGTTTTCAACTCGATGTCATCTATGAGACAGGTAAACAAAGGTCACATTAGTTAATCTCAAATGCAAACATTCATTACAAATAAGTCCTACACTGACTATCTGTGTGGGCATATTTATTAACTTCTCTGACCCTGCTTTCACCTGTAAATTGAGGACAATCACAATTTCTGCGTAATAGGGTTATTGTGAATATTAACAGACACATAAATGTCAAGTGGCCAGAACTGTGAGTGTGTTGCACAAGTTAGAGTGTAAATGTTAGCTACTATCATCATATCTAAACATATAGAGAGTTCTTACCTTTCTGCTAATATTATATCCCTTCATTGTCACCAATATAATGAGAAGCAGCTTCTATACATTTTTTCCCTTTTTTTTTTTGGAGAAAGAATATTTCTCTGTTGCCCAGGCTAGAGTGCAGTGGCATAAGCACAGCAATCTCAAACTCCCGGGCTCAAGAGATCCTCTTGCCCTAAACTCCCAAGTAGCTAGGACTACAGGCTAGCACCTCCATGCCTGGACATTTTTTGTTTATATATATATATATATATTAGATACAGGGTCTCACTATGTGTCCTCAGGCTGATCTCGAACTCTTGGGCTTCACCAATCCTCCCGCCTCAGCCTCCCAAAGTCCTAGGAATACAGACGTGAGTCCCCGTGCCTGGCCAGATTCTTAAATATCTCATGAGACAAAGCACTAAAAGAGATATAGAGATTTAAAGCTAGCCTAAAATAGCTTCAACTTTCTTTTCTGCAAAAGCTTATCTGCTAAGTCATATTTTGGGATTTGACCGAGCAGTCTCCCTGCACAACGAGTTCCCTGTCCTCCTATGGGACCAGACATAAGAATCTTCCCCTTGGCTTCAAATACATGCCCATTTGGGATACAAGAACAAATTGTCTCCCAAATTGGGGAGGCTCACGCCCACTGGAAATATATATAAGTAGGCACCTGTTGCACCACCTTGTGGGGAAACGCAGAGGCAGTACATCCCCCAGAGCCTTCTCTGTCAACACCTCCCTGCTCTGGACCTACATGAGAGTTTGGGGCTCAAGTCGCTGCAGGCCTAGCTCTCAGGGACTGGGGACTCGGGATGCTCCCCCATGCACACACACAGATGGAGCCACCCCGCATGCAGCGCTTGCCTGAGAGCCCACAGCCTCAGGTGAGGGGTGAGGAGAGCCCCTAGGGTGAGGCAGCTTGCTTGGGGGACAAGGGAATACACAGAGAGTACCTTGTGGGAGCCCCTGCTGCTGCATGCACTCTTCCTCGGCGTGGTCCGCCCTCTTCCGGAAGAAGGCCAAAACCGGGTTCAGAAGCCTGAACATTGTCCCGTCAGCACCAGCAGTCTGGGCACCTCGTGTGTCAGACGAAGCACGAGGCCTCCTCTGTCGGGTGCTCTAAGGTCACAGTGGCCCCCCAGGAACCCGCCTCCTGCTTCTCTTCCTCAGACCTGTGCGATAGGACCCAGCCGCTAGTGAGCTGCCCTCAGAAGAGCCGGGGATGCTACAGCCACCCTAGGAGCTCCCAGCGCGCCCCTCACTCCCGCCCCTGAGGCCGCGCTTGCCCAGGGCCCGCCCCCACCTCCATCCAGCCAATGAGGGTGCAGTGGGCAGACACGTGGCCCCCTGGGGCTACTCGGGGGCAGGGCCCAGGACATCCTGCTGCTCCCATGAATGCTGAGGTTGCCATTAGGATGGCCTCAGGAGAAGGGCTTGTGGGCTGGGCTTCAGTGTGTGCTCACTGGGTATGGGCTTTTCTGTGGGGGTCCCTAGAAACCCAGGTGTGCAAACAAGAAATCTAGCACTAGCCCTTGTGTTCATGGTGCTTAGCATAAGGACTAGTCACACAGAAGGAGGTCAACAGCTACTCCACCCAGAGGTCAATTTTGTATATGAAGGGGAGGGAGGTTCATGTGGCTATGCAATCTTTTAGTGATGGCAGATGCGTGTCTTTTATATTGACTCCCTTTTTGAGCCCGATATTAATTTATTATAGAATTCTTTGATAATCATTTCTACCACATATTCATTGCTTACCTAATTATTCCAGCCAATTACTCTGCTATACATATTGCATTATTGTATTTATTGAATTATTTAATAAAAATATTTTGGGTACTGACCGTAAATCAGACACCATTCTTGGTGTTTACAATTAATCAGTTAAGAAAAGAAGCAAGAATCTTAGCCCAGTGGAGGTAATTTTCTCACAGCAGGAAGGAAAGGGAGACAATAAACTTAAATAATAAAATAAATGATATGTTGGAAGATAATACTTTCTGTGTAAAATACGGCAGGTCAAGGGGGAACCAGAGTTGGGGATGGTGGAGGCGTGGTCAGGCTGCACTGTAGAATATGGTAATTGGAGTAGGCATCTTTACAAGGCAGAAGGTGAGCTAAGTCTTGAAGAAGGCAAGGGAGTTGGCCATGCTGCTGTTTGGGGGAGAAACTATCCAGGTAGAAGGAGCAGTCTGCGTAAAGATTCTTAAGCAAGTACATGCCTGTGATTTTCAAGAAAAAGCTATATGGTTGGAGAAGAAGTAAGAGCTAAAATAGTAAGCAATGTGGTCAGAGAGGTAATAGAAAGCCAGGTTATATAGGGCTTCGCTGTGTATTTCTTCTCCTAAAGAATCATGTTTTTCCAGAAAAGGAAAGAGAATGGTTAAGGACACAACTTGAGAGTGTACAGCAAATTGCAGAAAGGTTGAGGCAATGAATGTTTTTTGCCATGGCACATTATAGTACCTGCATACCATGAGTCTGAAAAAAAGGAAAGGGATATATAAAAATGTTGTCAAAGTTGGCTCACTTTTGATGGAGTTTATTCATTAAACAAAACGTTTTGTGAATTTTTTACTGTTAAATGTTGTATTTAAGAAAATCTATAATATGACTCTTTCTGTTAAAATGAAAAATGAGTTGGTATATTCAGTATTTATCCCTAAATAACAGATATTCCATATCTTTCTGTGCTTTGTGTTTACTCTGTTATGGCCCTGACTATTAGAAAACAAACAAAAAAACTCACTTCTAAAGGAGCTAAGATAATTGTGTTACCTTCCATAGTTATTTTTAAGTGTTGACCTCGTAATTTTGATTAATAGGCAGTTAAACTACATCATTCATGGTTCTCCAGGTCATATATGCCTCTCTTAATCATGTGATCACTTTGTTAGAGCTCTAAATTTTGCCTTCTGTATAATTTTTTTGTTTTTGTTTTTGTTTTTGTTTTGTTTTGTTTTGTTTTTTTGAGGTAGAGTCTCACTTTGTTGCCCGGGCTAGAGTGCCCTGGTGTCAGCCTAGATCACAGCAACCTCAAACTCCTGGGCTCAAGTAAACCTTCTGCCTCACCCTCCGAAGTAGCTGGGACTACAGGCATGTGCCACCATGCCTGGCTAATTTTTTTGTATTATTATCTTACATTTCTGGAGGTTACCATTCCAGAAGTTCTCACTGGGCTAAAACCACAGTGTTAATGGAGCTATGTTCCTTCTGGAGTACATCTTAGTACATTTCCTTGCATTTTCCACATACTATGGGGTGCTTGAACTGCTTAGGCTGTGGCCCTGCATTGCTCTGAATTCTACCTCCATGATCACATTTCTTTCTCTTTCTTTGGCTTTCCTGTCTTTCTCTTTATGATAATCCTTGTTATTACATTGAACCCACTCAATAATTCCAAATAATTTTCCCAACTCAAGATCTTTAATGTAATCACAATTGCAAAGCTTCTTTTGCCATCTAAGGTAATATTCACATGTGTATTTTATAGGAGGCCAGTGTTCTTCCTAGTACACCATTTCAAAATCATATCAGAAAAATAATATATAAAGATGCCTTTTACATTAGAGCTCTCTTTGAGATTTCCCAGAGGGACCATAGAAATCATATGATGGGAATTGGCTCACTCTATTATGGAGGCCTAGAAGTCCCACAATCTTCCATCTGAAAGTTGGAGAACCAGAAAAGCCAGGAGTGTAATTCAGTCCAAGTCCAAAGGCCTGAGAAGTAGGGGAGCTGATGGTGTAAGTCACAGTCCAAAGGCCTGAGAACTGGGGGGCAGGGATCACTGGAATAGACCCTGGAGTCTGGAGAGGCCTAAGAACCAGGAGTTTTTATGTCAGAGGGCAGAAGATGGATAGCCCACCTCAAAAAACAGAGAGAATTTACCATTCCTCAGTAAAAGGGCAGCAGTAACAGACCCAAATGAGGAATATGTTCCCTCCCAAATCCAGAAACCATTAGGCATTACAACTCTTTTTTGGTTGTAGGAGGGGCTAGATGCAACAATTTATCCTTCACCTTAGAAGGAGTAAGTATCTAGACATGCCCTACACCACTGGACACTTAGAAATTTCACTGAGGAGAAGGCCTCTGATTTTTTGTTGCATTTATTTCCCACCCTCTTACATGCAAATATCTTACCAATGTGTCTAGATTAGTTGCTACTTCTTCTTGATCACTAGGTCCTATGAGAATAATGTCACCGGTGTGATGAACCAGTGTGATATCTTGGGAAGGGGAAAGAGATCAAAATCCATATGAACTAAATTATGACATAGGGCTGGAAAATCAATATACCACTGAGGTAAAACAGTGAAAGTCTATTGCTAAGAATTCAAATCCCTGAGCTCATTCTTTTCTTTCATCACTTTGTCTAGTGACATTAGGAACAACCAAGCAATGTCATCATTTTCATGAGTTTTCCAAAAATGTTTGAAATTATTTACAAAGTCATTTAGCTCCTTACTTCTTATAAGTGGTTGATTAAGAGTATCCAATAGAAGTATTTTGTGTATCTCTATCATCAGTTCACTCCATGGATTATCAGTGCTTTCTTTACTACCAAAAATAGAGTCATTAGCATCTTTAAATCTAATCAGATTAGAGAGCCAAATCCAGAAACCCAATTGCAGAAAACTTATCCATAAATTCTGTTCCTCTAAAACCACCCTAGGTACCAAATTCTGTATTAGTCAATGTTCTCTAGAGAAACCAAACGAATAGGCTATGGAGATGTGTGTGTGCGTGTGTGTGTAAGATTTAATATGGGAATTGGCTCACAGAAATATGGAGGGCAATAATTCCCAGAATCTGTTGCCTGCAAGCTAGAGAACTAGGAAATCCTGTGATGTAATTCAGTCTAAGTGCAAAGGCCTGAGAACCAGGGGAGCCAATAGTGTAACTTCTAGTCAAAGTCCAAGGCCTGAGACCAGCTGGGCTGCTGGTATAAGTACCAGAGTAGAAAGGCCTGAGAACCTGGTGCTTTGATGCTTGAAGGCAGAAGATAGATGTCTCAGCTAAAGAAGAGAGAGTGAATTCACTCTTCCTCTCCCTTTTTGTTTTATTTGGGCCCTCAATGAATTGGATAATATCCACCTATACTGGTGAAGATCATTTTCTTTACTCAGTCTACCGATTCAAATGCTAATCTCTTCTGGAATCACCTTCATAGACAAACGCAGAATTAATGTTTAACAGTTCTCAGGCCATTCCTTAGCTCAGTGAAGATGACACATAAAATTAACCATCACACAGTAAAAATAATTGTGTTATTGTCTTTGGTAATTCTAATATTTGAATTCTTAGGCGATTTGTTTCTGTGGCATACTGTTTCTGCTAGTTTGCAATGATGGAGTCTTGTTTACTTCTCTGAATAGATATCATTGTACTTCTTTTTTTAACTTTTTAAATTCAGAATATTACTTCTGCTGTCGATAGTGTTTAAAAATATATATTTAAAAATAATTTGAACCATAGAACCAAAGTACCTTACTCCAGAGAGGATTTTCATTTGCTCATTCCAAATGCCTGGTGTCCAAAATTACTAGACGGGGTCCAAAAAAACCAAGTGCAAAACTTCATGTCTATTACACTACCTGGGATATTTGAAACCAAGCTATAACTTCACCCAATATTAAGTCCATTTCCTGTTCTCATAAATCATTGTGTGTTAATAACGTGGGGGGTAGAGACCCCATGTTGTATGGCTCTGGTTTCTTCTACCTTATCAGATAAAGATATCAAAACTCACCAGGATAATATTTTCCCTCAGAGAAAAAGTTATTTCCATGTTCCTTCACCTGCTTCGATTCTTGTTTTTCTTTCAATTTTTAAAATTCCAACTATATCAAGTAAACTTTTAAATGTGCGGCAAAACTGAAAGAATAGTACGATGAAAACCCAAATATCCACCATCTAGATTCAATGATATCACATATTGTGATGAACATTGTGATGAACCTTTTCAAAGACATATTCAAACTTCCATAACTCTTTAACCAAAGAATTTTCAGCATATATCTTCTAAAAAGCAGAACATGCATCTACATAAAAAAAAACACCAAGTTTCTGTTTCAACATATCAGCAGCTTGGAAGTCGTCACTTTCATTCTCATGACAAGAAAAAAGATGAACAAACTGAAAATCAACAACTTTTTCAGATTCTTTAGAGAATTGATGTCACAGGGCAAACCGCTGCTCCAAATTTGGAGAGAAAGTCAAAGAAAGAATCACAGCTTACATGGAGCACAAGGACAGGAAAAAAGGCTGGCCACTGCATGCCCCCCCCACACACACACTAACTTAACTCTGATCGGTCAACCAACTCCACTCTCTGGGGTGTTTATCTCTTGCTGGGGAGCATTTCTTGAATGAAGGGAGGAAGGAGTATGAGCATGTTTCCTTCATCCAACAGGTAACCAGGCTCAGGTTGCTCAGAGTGACACTGTGCTTATGGGAACCAATAAGCACAGGCTGCTTGGACTCAACACCCATTTTTCCTTGGTTTGGGGCCCTCAGGCAAGTCCTCCCACTGCTTTTTCCCTTAGGTTTCTCATCTAAAAAATGGTAATAATAATGCCTGTCTTGTAGAGCTTTGAGGATTGAATCAGTTGCCATACATAATGGACTCAGAACAATGACCAGCACAGAGTATATGCTCTATAAATTTTACCTATTACTAACACCACAAAGATCCCGGCCTTCAGCATCCTTCCTCCATCTCAAGATTTTCATGCTGACACTTGCTGAAAGGACAGGCCACAATCTCTATGCTGCCTTCATGAGCTACTGCTGCCCCAATCTATTCCCAGAATGCCTGATGATTCCCTAAGTCCAGTGAACATGTTCAGCCCACTGCACTGGGAACTCCTGACCCCCTCCTTGTAGATCTCCCCTTGATGCCCCAGCACCACTCCTACCTGGTTCTTGAGGCCCTCCCTGCCCATATCCTCAACCAGATGTTTATCTTTTGTAACTCCCTTGCCTGTTCTGTCTGCAGGAGAGGGAGGACATATAGACATCATCCACTGTCCCCATGGATTACAGCAGTTCCCTCCTAACTGGTCTCCCTGCTTCATGCTTTGGCCCCTACAGCCTGTGCACAGCCAAGCAGCTGGAAGGATTCCATGAAGGCTCCAAACCCTTCAGGGACTTCACACATCATGAACAGTAAAAGCCAAAGAACTTAACAGTGCCCTACAAGGCTCCACACATCCTGAATTTGTATTATCTCCCTGACCACATTTCTTACTATTCTAGCTCTCTGTCCCTCTGCTCCAATCACTTAGCTTTTCTTTAAGCACATCAGCTGCAGTCTTGCCTCACAATTTTTGCACAGGCTGTTCTCTGTGTCTGGAGAGCTCCTCCCCAAAGATCTGCCTGGCGAACTGCAACATCTCCCTCAAGACTTTGCTTAACTATTGCTTTCCAATGAGGCCACACTGACCACCCTATTCCAAAATGCAATCCATTCTCTTTCCCTGCTATACTTTTCCATAGCATTTATTACTTTTCAGTATATTATTATATGTGTTTTATTATTTGTTATGTTTATTGTCTCCCTTTTCCTCCTCCTGTGAAAAATTACCTCTACAGGATCAATATGCTTGACTCTTTCATTCACTGACTAATTATGAGTGCCCAGAACAGTGTCCAGCTCATAGTTAGTACTAAAAATAATTATTAAATGAATTAATAAATGTAATATATATAGCAGAGTAACTGGTAAAACTAGGTAAGCAATGAGTAAGTGGTAGCAATGATTATCAAAGAATTATATTGTAAATTACCACTGGGCTCAAAAAGGGAGTCAATACAAAAGACAGGCATCTGCCATCACTAAAACATTACATACCCACAGGAACCTCCATCCTCTTCATATACAAAATTGATCCCTGGGTGGAATAACTACAGACCTTCTGTGTGACTAGTTTTTAGACTAAGCACCACGAATAGAAGGGCTAGTGCTGGATTTTTTGTTTGCACAGCCTGGATTACAGGAACCCAATCTTCCAAGAAAATCCCACAGAAGACCCCCTGTGCCCCAAAGCACACAATGAATCCCAGCCCACAAGCTATTTTCCTAAGGCCATCCTAATGGCAACCTCAGCATTCATGGGAGCAGCAGGATGTCCTGGGCCCTGCCCCCGAGTAGCCACAGGGGGCCACAGGCCAGCCCACTGCACCCTCATTGGCTGGATGGAGGTGGGGGCGGGCCCTGGGCAAGCGCGGCCTCAGGGGCGGGAGTGAGGGGCGCGCTGGGAGCTCCTAGGGTGGCTGTAGCATCCCCTGGCTCTCCTGAGGGCAGCTCACTAGCGGCTGGGTCCTATCGCACAGGTCTGAGGAAGAGAAGCAGGAGGCGGGTTCCTGAGGGCCCACTGTGACCTTAGGGCTCCCAGACAGAGGAGGCCTCGTGCTTCGTCTGACACACGAGGTGCCCAGACTGCTGGTGCTGACGGGACAATGTTCAGGCTTCTGAACCCGGTTTTGGCCTTCTTCCGGAAGAGGGCGGACCCCGCCGAGGAAGAGTGCATGCAGCAGGAGGGGCTCCCACAAGGTACTCTCTGTGTATTCCCTTGTCCCCCAAGCAAGCTGCCTCACCCTAGGGGCTCTCCTCACCCCTCACCTGAGGCTGTGGGCTCTCAGGCAAGCGCTGCATGCGGGGTGGCTCCTTCTGTGTGTGTGCATGGGGGAGCATCCCGAGTCCCCAGTCCCTGAGAGCTAGGCCTGCAGCGACTTGAGCCCCAAACTCTCATGTAGGTCCAGAGCAGGGAGGTGTTGACAGAGAAGGCTCTGGGGGATGTACTGCCTCTGCGTTTCCCCACAAGGTGGTGCAACAGGTGCCTATTTATATATATATTTCCAGTAGGCGTGAGCCTCCCCAATTTGAGAGACAATTTGTTCTTGTATCCCAAATGGGCATGTATTTGAAGCCAAGGGGAAGATTCTTATGTCTGGTCCCATAGGCGGGGAGGGATCTCGTTGTGCAGGCAGACTGCCGGGGTCAGATACCAAAATATTACTTACCAGATAGGCTTGTGCAGAACTAAAGGAAAAGGAAAGAAAAAATTGGATGCAGTTTCAGGGTAATTTTAAATCTCCGAATATATTTTCGTGCTTTTTCTAATGAAATGTTAAGAATCTTAGGGGGAGCCATGGCTCACACCTGGAATCCTAGCACTTTGAGAGGCTGAGGGAGGAGGATCGCTGCAGCCCAGGAGTTTGAGATCAGCTTGATCATCACAGGGAGGCTCTGTCTCTACAAAAGAAAAAGAAGAAAATTGTCAGGGCGTGGAGGTGTGAGCCTGTAGTCCCTGCTACTTGGGAGGCTGTGGCAGGAGGGTTGCTTGAGACCAGAAGTTTGAGGATTCAGTGAGGTATGATGACCTCACTGACTTCTAGCCCAGGCAACAGAGCGAGACCTTGTCTCAAAAAAAAAAAATCTATAGAACCTGCCGCTGTTACGTTGGTGTTAATGATGAATGGGTATAATACTAGAGGAAGCTTAAAGACTATATGTAGATACGATGATAGCAGCTAGCATTTACACTCTAACTTGTGCAATGCACTCACGGCTCTGGACACTTGACATTTATGTGTCTGTTAATATTCACAACAACCCTATTAAGCAGAAATTGTAATTGTCTTCGATTGACAGGTGAAGTTAATAGAAGTTCATAAATAGTTAAAAGTTAATAAATAGAGAATAAATATGCCCACACAGATAGTCAGTGTAGGACTTATTTTTAATGAATGTTTGCATTTGAGATTAACTAATGTGACCTTTGTTTACCTGTCTCATAGATGACATCGAGTTGAAAACTGTGCAAGGAGTTGTGACAAGTTTCTTTTGCGATTACGGCTTGATTGATGAGTCGATCTACTTCACTAGTGATGTTGTGACTGGCAATGTGCCTCTAATAGTTGGACAAAAAGTTACTGCAGTTGTTGAAGCTAATAAAACATCTCGTGGATTGAAAGCAATCAGAGTAAGATTTGCATGAGTTTGGGGACTGTATCTTATCCTAGTGGGCTTTCAATCTTTCCTTTCTCTAGCGTAACCGGTATGGTAGATGTAAACTGGAATTTGAAGTCCCACTCCCCTGAAGCTATAGGTTCTTCTGCCCTAATATATGTATTTATTTCTGTTTTAAAACATAAAAATTATCTCTTCTTCTAGTATTTATACAATATGGTTTAAAATGATAATTATTAGACTCCATATAATCCTATACTTCCTTTCTTCAGGTAAAAAGAAGGAACCTTTTTTTTTGTTTTGCTTTCCCGGCGTTGGATTTGTTTTTTCAATTGTTTTGCTTTTAAACCTTTTTTTTTTTTTTTTTTTTTTTTTTTTTTTTTTTTTAAAATTTTTATTATTTTGGGGGTTCCATTTTGATTTTTTTTCCTTGTTTTTTTTTTTTCTTGTTGAGTTTTGGCTTTTTACATTTTAAACATTTAAAAAATAGCTTTATTGAGGTATAATTTACATGCCACAAAATTCTCTTAAGAGTATAATTCATTAACTTTTTGTAGATTTACAGAGTCCTGTAAGCATCACTTCAATCCAAATATTTGCCATTTCAATAGCTATTATCAAATTATCCTTTAGCTATATTGTACTACTTGATTTTTTCAACAGTAGGCTGTGAGACTGCTTGTTTGCCCATATTGTCATTCGTAGAAATATTATTGCTCTGAAATCTTTGCAACTATGAATATTGTAAAGCAACCTCATGATTTTATTTGGAACTTCTTTAAGTTTTAATGAGATTACAACAATTTTGTTTACTGTGAGCTATTTATACAATAGGGACATTACAGCTATTATAATGTGAGTAGGTTGTATGTATCCATGAATTCATCCATTTCTTCTAGTTATCCACTTTGTTGGCATATATTTGTTCACCATAGTCTGTTATGATCCTTTTTATTTCTGTGATATCAGTTTTAATGTCTCCTTTATTATCTTCTATTTTATTTATTTGAGTCTTCTCTCTTTTTTCTTAGTATAACTAAAGGTTTGTCTATTTTGTTTGTCTTTCCAAAAAAACAACTATTTTTTCTATCTTATATATCATTTTCTCATCTCTATTTCATTTATTTCTGCTCTAATCTTTATTATTTCCTTCCTTCTCCTAATTTTGAGTTAAATTTTTCTTGTTTTTCTAGGTATTTGAGATATACCATTAAGTTAAGTGATTCTTCTTTTTGATATAAGTGTTCATTGGTATAAACTTCACTTTTAGAACTGCTTTTGAGGTATCTCAAAGGTTTTGGTATGTTGTATTTCCATATTTGTTTGTCTCAATAAATTTTTAAATTTCCCTTTGAATTACTTTATTGATACATTGGTTATTTAGGAAGATGTTATTTAATTTCCATGTATTTGTAAAGTTCCTCCTGGTTTTGACTTCTAGTGTTATACCGTTATAATCAGAAACCATAGTTGGTATGATTTCAATCTTCTTAAATTTGTTAAGACTTATTGTGTAGCCTATTATATGATCTCTCCTGGGGAATGTCTGATATGCACTTGAGAGATATATGTCTTCTGCAGTTGTCATATAGAATGTTCTGTAAATGTCTGTTGTGACATATATTCTTAGTGTTGAAACAGGTTGTTTAAAATATTTTTTGAACATCAGCGATGTAATCACATACATTCCCATTTTAAAATTTGTGTTATTTTTGAAGTAACAGTTTCTTCATCTTACAGGTGGAAGCTATGCCTTATCATGTTAGTGGAGCTGTATCATCAGACCCAAGGCCTAGAGTTGTAGTTGGTTATGTTACTTCTATAAGGAAAAATATTATTTATATTAATAAAAACATTTACTTCCCTGTGGACATTGTTTCTAAAGGTATGATTTACACTCTTAGAAAAATGTAATTCTTAACTTTTTAGAGGATTTTAGTACTACAACTACTTCCATAATACAATGTACTTGGCTCCAGTCAATGGCTCTTCAATATTATAGTCGGAGCCCTGGAATTGAAAATGCTGTGCAATACAGGGACAGATAGGTAATATTTATAAAAATGTCTGCTATCATTTATTGTGAGTTCACTTGTTGAATGTATTCAATAATGTCTGAATGTATATTTCATGCAAAAAGTATTTAATTTCTAATCAGTGAAAAAATCCTCAAGTATACGGGGAAACTATTTTTAATATACTACGAATGCTTCAAAAGTAGGATAGGGGATAACCTTGTACCTTTCTCTATGTGTGAGTATGTGTGTAGGTGTATCTGTTTTTGAATTTCAATTGTAATCAGCAAATATGTTCTAATATGTAGTTTACACCCAAAGATAAACTTTGCTTTTGCTAATTTGGTCCATTGCAGCTGTCATGTACCTTGGGTATAAAATGAATGATTGGCTCAACCCCGCTGGGCAGCTTGCTTTTTTATTTTCTTGAGTGTGAAACCAGGACTCGGACCTGAATTTTGTTTTAGGATGTTCACTCTGTCTTGTGTCATTCTACAATGCTGGGTCCTAGGGTATAGAAATATTTCACTGTGTTGATACTACCTGTAGTCTACAGTGGTTATGCCAATTTACATTCCCACTTGGAGTGTTTCAGATTTCCAGTTGCTCCAGGTCCATTTAGGTAGCTTTGTTACTCAGTGACTCACTTACTGCTTATTGTCTAATTCTGTTTGAAACTCCATGTTTACAACTGTAAAATGTAAGGTGTCTACTTAAGAGTCCATCAGCTGACCACAAGGGGAAGTAATTTATTCCTACAGGAGCAATATTTCCTAGTGCTACTGCTATCACTAATACCAATCAACACTTAAGTGGTGGTTACTATGTGCCAGTCATTATTCTATGAGTTTTACACATATCATATAATTCTCACAGCAACTCTATATATCATGAAAACTCCTATTGTGCTTCTCATTTTATAGATGAAGAAACCAAGTCACAGAGGTTAAACACCTTGACCAAGGTTGCAAACTGAGTAAATGGCAGTGTTAAGATTTAAATGCAGGCAGCCAGGTTCAAACTTGTGCTCTTATGTGTGTACTTGAATGCCTCGCTAAGGAGTTGTAAATATGGCCAATTGTTTAACAAATCCTGTGCTGCTTCCTTAGATTGGCTGTGCTGCACAGTTGACACTTTTCCCCCTTTGACTTTATTAAATCAGTAGAGGACAATCAATACCTAAAGGATTATAAACTTATTTTCTGACAGAAATGTTTATAATGTGTTTGTTTAAACATGTTCAAAATAGCAGGAGGTATTGGAAAGTATTAAAATGTTAAAGTAACTTGTGAAGTTTAACATGACCTAGTTAAGAGATAATTGCACTCAGATTTCTCCATGGGTATTTTAGGTTTTGTGCCTTATGAGGGTGACTGCTTAGAAATTGAGTATTCCATTCAGCCGGATACCTCAAACATCAAGGTACACTCAGTGAAGCCGGTGAATTGTAAGCACGTGGATGAGGTAATTTGTTTGCATGTATTAATAGGATTTGTCAATAGCTTCTGCCAAACATACCTTTAGTGATAGTTTTTGTGCCTAGGATTCTATTGAGTGTGCTAGGAAATCTAGAAAATATGAACAAATATATTCTTTGCCAAAAAGGAGCTTAATTTCTTATTAGAAAACAATGTGGGACAAGCATATAATCAAATTCTAAATTGTGTGGTTGATTTAGTGTTAGAATGTTATTAGAATGTTCTGAGAACAACGGGAAGAAAAACAATTTGTATGCAAGAAAATTTGTGGGAAAAATTGAATAGAATATGTTGTAGGACCTGAACTGCCAGTATAAACTGGATATTATTTGGGTATTCAAGTGTGAAAATAAGTAGGAAATTAAGTGAAATAGAAGGTAATGGACATTTTTGGGTAATATTTAGAGCAAGGTTACTCATCAGGGACCCTGACTTTATCCTCAGAGATTCTGACTTAATTAGTCCGAGTTGGCATCTGGGCATAGGTATTTTTACAAGGCACCCCTGGTGTTGCCAATGTGTCCACCAGGTTGGGATTCATAATTTGGATGTAATGACCAGGTTAGAGCCAGGTGAGGAAGTGCAGAGCTTGTTACATTTTATTATGCTTTCTCATAATCATTTCTTCATTGCATAATCATTATTTATGCTTGTAGGTGTGTATCACCAGTCTACGTGGAAGAAATGGGGTAATAGATGGTGCTATCTTTTTCACGTTGGATTCTCTGAAACTTCCTTTTGGATACATACCTAAAAAATACGACATTGTCAATGTGGTTATAGTGGAGAGCATGCAGCCATTCTGTATTTGGAGAGCAATTTCTATCACCCCAGTGCAAAGGTCATAATAACAAAACATTTTCATTCCCTGTTCATCTGTTTGTCTATGGGCAGTAAAGGGCCTTGTTTAATTGAAAAACTTAGCTTAGTAAGCCTAAGCAATATCTTAAATATGACTTACCTGGTAAATCCAATTAAGATACTGGCTAGGTTACTTGGGACTATGAACACTTTTGAGGGAAGTGTGCTATCAATTACAAAGCATGCTATATAGCAGGCTTGTTATCAAAGGGAATTAGTTATTGGAAATGATACTGCACATTAATTTAAGTCCCGTGTTTTCCATTACCAGGTGTGAATTGTGTGCTGGCAGAGGCCTGGAGTGGCCCTGAAGTGACCCGCGGAAGCAAAGCATGTAACTGAAGAGGCAGCAGGGCCAGCATGTTAATGGGCATGATTTAAAAGTTACCGTTTGCTTTCAGTTTCAAACCTCCCTTATGCTGTCTGTTTAGTTTTAATTTTTCCGTAGATATTTTTTATCTTCTATCACCTGCACAATTTGTTATGTTTATTGTTTAACTATTTCCTTCTTCCTCATGCTTGAATGCAATCTCCACAATGGCAAGATGTCTTTTGTTTTATTTTTGTCATTAATGCATCACTGAACACTTACAATAGTGCCTAGCATATACTAGGGGCAGAATAAATTTTATTCAGTTCAATAAATGAATGATCAGACTACCACTGATGTTTTGCGGTGGCTCATTCATCACTCATTCCCTACAAGTAAATGTTGGGCAACCCATTATGACCTCAGTTGATTTTCTTAAACAGAAACACCCCAAATCTGCTGTACATAAGCCTCCTTGATCCACTTTGTTGGAGAGGTGCAGCCCATCTGCAGAATGAATAAGAGGGCAATCTCAGAAACCCTCGAAGGAAAGGGAAGCTGCTTACCCACTGGGAAGGATGGTACTAAAACCTCAGGAATATACCCATGAAACTTCTGGCCTTCCCCTAACAGAGCATTTAACCAAGTAACTGTGACCTAGGGGGAGGGATATATTCAGATTTTGGGGCATCACTGGAAAGTGGCTGTGAGCTCACTCCCACTCCTGGGATTCATAATTCTACCATAACTCCCATTCCTGTAATAACTAGAGTTTGGTCCTGAGTTTGCTTTACAGGTGCAGTGGAAGCCCCCAGGCAGCCAGTGATCCAGTTTTCCAGTTTCCCTCCTTATAGCAACATAGGAGGATTGACTATCCTGTAGAGTTTAGGCTTTCACTCATTGGTTCACTCCACAAATACCCACTGATCCCCTTTTATGTGCCAGGCACTGTTCTAGACGCTGGAGTTACAGCCTTAATTAAAACTTGCATTCTTTTAATATCCCCTGTGGCTTCCTGACCCATGTAGCAGTAGCTCCTATGATGAAAAGGGGCAAGTGGGAGCTGTAGCAGCTCCATGTCCCTGTGAAAGTCATTATTCAAAAACAGCCCCACACCTTGTGGGAATGCAGAAAAGTCCACTGTTGGACTTGAGAGATACATGGGCCATGGATTTTACCACATCTCCATTTAATTCTCCAGTTTGGTTGATGTGGAAGAATGTTCTTAGAGAGTAACAGTGGACTATGGGAAGCTCCATCAGATGGTAACTCAATCACAGCTCTGTTTCAGCAACATCCTCACTGGAGTGAGTGAATCACATAATCACCTGGGATGCTATAGTTGTAGGAGTGAATAAAGTTCCTTCATTCTTTTTTTTTAATAGCAACCCCCAGTATGTGTTTGCTTTCGTAAGGCAGGTCCAGCAGTGGTACACTGTGAATATTTTCCTCAGGGATATGTCAACTCCAGGCTCTTTGCCACAATTTAGAACGAAGGGTTTTTTATCATCTCACCCACATCAGGGCATCATACCTGTCTACTTAAATGGATGACATTGTAGCACAAAGACTCAGGAAGTAATGGGCTCTGTCTGAAATGTGTATTCTGTAGGTTGGAAAGAAATGGCCTGAAAATACAAGGACCTGCCACCATGAGTTTCTGCAGCTCCAGTGTCCTGCTGTAGAGCTTCCAGTAGGCATCCTATGAAAGGGTTACAGGTGTGCTGACATCAGATGATTCTCAGCTCATTTAGAGATGCATGCAATGTTAAAAAAGGAAATGTGACAATGACCTTGAGCAGGGGTTTGGAAACTAGCCCTTGGGCCAATCCTGGTCTACTGCCTGAAATGATTCTTAGAAAATGAAGTTCCATTAAAATACCTGGAACTGAATCAGGGCCCAATCCACTATACCTAGTGTTCTTATCATCATGATTCTGAATGTTGTTCATAATAGAGGCACTTGGAAGTCTCTCATGATTGTGGTTTTATGTAGAACTATTTGTGTCTTTAATAGATTCTAGTTTGTTTTATTTCAGTGCTGTTAATGAGATGCATAAAAGTTTGTACATCTTCCTGTAGGATATATTTTGTGAATGTGAACAATTTCTCTTTGTCATGTTTAACATGTGGTCCCTTGTTATGTTGGAAATTACAAACTCTATTTCATTAGCCGTATATACAAGGATTCTTGTTCCTTTGTGTTGGACAACATAGTGTTTAGAATCCAAGCTCTTATTTTTATGTGTTTCCAAAAACTTGAGTTTACACTCATACTTCCAGTAACAGTTCAAGAACACAGGGTTTATTCTTTGTTTTCCTCTTTCTATCTTTCCATGTTTATTGCTTCCTTTGCAGCTACGGAGAACCCTGCCTTCCACCATCTTTAGTATATTTACTTATTTGTACAACCTGCTGTATGTACTCTTACACTATGGGCAGCTTTCCTGTTATATTATATTCCCTAGTACTTTGGGGATGTCAGACATTTCCACTTGCACACTCAGCAGACCTTCCAACTTCTCTAAATGGGCTCCATGACTCCAAACCCCCCAGGCTCTGCAGCATTAGGAAACACCCTGTCAACGGTGAGCAGCCAGAGTTCATGCTCTTGTGGCGTTTGGGTAGCACGGAGATGGGACAGAGTTAAAGAAGCCACATGAATAAAACCACTCTGAACCAAAAGAAGTGAAAATAGAGCTTGCATTTTAATGGTTCCGTCAGGGGAAGGATTTGTTGATCCACACCATTTTCCTGGATTTCTCATAATCCACAGGGGACAGATGTGGGCAAACTGCATGGTGTTTGGGCAAAGGCCAGCTCCACCGTGGTGCTGCCTGCGTCAGCGTCCACAGCCAGTCCATCAGGTCAGCTTCGTGGCTGTGCCTCCCCAGCTGCCTACCGAGCAGCATGCCCAGCACCGTTTGATTGGCCAGGTGGGGCTTGAAGTACTCATCTGCCTTCCTCCTGATGCTCGCCGTGGATGTGCGGGGACCGGACTTAGAGTGTCCTCTCGGCATGACTGCGTGACTCCCGGGTGGCTTCAGAAAGACAGAACAGCAGAGACAGCCTGTGAGACTCGATGGAGTCAGCATCACCTGACCGAGCAACACCAAGCAGCCCAAGAAGCCCCTCCACACTTGTACCGACCAAACACTCACAGTCACACACGTACACACTCACACGCAGTCATGAGAGTCTGCTGTGAGCAATATCTGATTCGAATGTCAGCGTCACCATATCTTTGGTTCCCACACATAAGGGAGTATATTCCTAGAGTGTCTCCTGGTCCCCTGACATGGTGATCCATTCCTGTGTCAGTGGCTGGTCCTGTGCGGTGAGTTTTGGTGTCCTCTGTGGCAAGCTCCCCCTCTCAGGTAAGCTGTCACAGGGGATCCTCAATATAATTCTCTCTGGCCGTCCAGTTCCACACACACTCAAAATTGTGTTCTGATTTATACTGAAATGGTACTGAATTTACAGATTGATTTAGAGGAAAATGGATACCATTTCAAAAACTGATCTTCTGTTCCACAAAGAATTAGTACTTTTAGTATGATTTCAGTTTTCAAACTAGAAGCTAATATAAAGGTGATTGTGCATTTCCTTATATTTGAATTCATCATATATTTGTAAGTTTTTCATAATATTGGTGACCAATGTCAATAAGATATTTATTTCTATAATAGTCCCTGGTCAATAGAAGGATATACAATTTTTATACATTTAACTTATTTCAACCAACCTTTCCTGACCTATTTCCTATGTGATCAGCTTGGGTTTCCAGGAAGGCAATCCCTGAAAAGAAAGACAATTTTCCACACTCTTTTGTCAATAAAATACACCAATATGTTCCTGTCCCCAACCCCAATTTGTTTAGGACACTGAACACGGCCTCAGTGTCTTAACCCGGCTCCATGTGGGGTAGGAGGAAACCTGGATGACTGACCCTCCCCTGTCACTGCAGAAAGGCAGAGTGAGACCTCGGCCCCCGTTACGGGCAGCCGTGCCTCAATTCTGACTGGTGTCACGCGAGACTGAGTGAGGCAGCCAGTGTGGGGAAGCCACATCTCCTCATATAATGACCCTGTCAGTTCCTCAGGAGAACAGCACTATAAAGAATACAGAGCCGTGTCCCCACCATTACATGTCTGACAGCCTGGAAAACTTCATGTCCTACCCCTACACAATGCCGACGTGGGCCACCTTGAATGTTAACAACTTAGTTGTATAGCTCAGAGACTGGGACCGTAGCATGACTACTCACACCCCAAATCTCTGCAAATGAACACCCCATTTACATGAATCGCAGATTATAAAAGTATTAATTGCAGAGTCATGACCAAGGCTCCATGCAGAGATTAAGAAGTCAGTAGAAAATTCTAGCTGGGACTAAGCTCCTGATTGGAACTTGAGGCCAAAATTGCTGAGCATTGGCCAAGGCACCTGTTGGGATGGGATGGGTACTGTGAGCTCCTCACACAGGGGAAATGTTAATGAAGGGGTTTGGCACAAGTCAGGGAGAAGCTCTGAGGCCAAGATACCTGAGTGTTCTTCCCAGAAGTGGCTGTGGGGTTGGTGCCCATGGGTGGGTAACAGCTGTTGCTTCTCCCAGCAACGCCCACTCACCGTCTTCAGGCAAGTAACCAAGGTGATATGACCAGTATTTGCAACTGGCAAGTGACTGTGTGTGATCCCAAGGTTCCAAGGGCAATTGTGAGTCACCGTTGTCACCATGACTCCTCTGGCTGCTAACCAATCAGGCCCTGGGACTCGGGGCAAGAGAGCAAGGTGAGGAGAGGAGTTATTCTTCTCACTGCTCACCCTCTGGTCCAGATTTCTCTTTGGTAGAGACCTGAGCGCTCTGAGAGGTACAATATCCTGACATACCAAGGTAATATAGCATGTTTTTCTGCCATTACCTAACTAATCTACCTGATAAACTCCCGCCCTTTTAGATAATTGGGGGATATGTGACTGTCAATTGTTCCAACTAATACAGAGATGCTCTTCAGAGAGGTGGGTAACAGCATAGGCCTGCAGGGGGAGGGAGCCTTGACCTGATTCTGATTCCCTCTTCCTGTGTCAGCCTGCAGTTCTGGGGACTCAGGACAGATCTGGCCTTGGCACAGCTTCCTGCACTGTCCTGATGTCTCCATGGCGCCCATGGCTTTGACCATTGCACCTTCAGACCTTAAACAGATTAGTCAGACCCCTTGTTCCTGATGTCAGATCCCTTCCTTCTTGAAATGCTTGTCATGGTCTCCCCTAACTCAGTTCTAGGCAGACGCAGGGAGCAAGGCACACGAGGTCCTGCCTGTACCAAACTTCTAATGGAGGGGAATACGGCCCAGGGAACAGGCAGTTACCGAACAGTGTGAGGGGTCCATCACTCAGTTTGTTAGTTAGTCAATCGGTCAATAAATTTAGCGAGTATCTACACATTCAGCAATTGAAACAGGTATTGTGCCAGTGAAGCAGAATCAAGATTCTAGACCCAGACCCATGTGTATGACTTACTGCTGGTAGCAAGTGTGTGTGTGTGTGTGTGTGTGTGTGTGTGTGTGTGTGTGTGTGTGTGAGAAGAGTCAGAGGGTGACATGGGAGTGAGGATTACACCCCTGTGTCCACTTATCATCTGGATTTCATCATCATGTTTTTCAGGATTTTTGGTTGTGCTGTCTTCCTGAGGTTGTGTGGAGTCGACCAGTCATGGAGCAAGAACCTTCTAAAGTCACTCCCAAGGAACCTGCTCTGAGCATCAAGAAGTCAGGCAAATCCTCCACACGCAGCCAGGTCTCCAAAAACGTGCTGTACTTTCTCATCAGTCGACAACTGGGGAGGCCCAGACATGACGTGGACCTGGCACAGTGGGTGTGGATGCTCTCATAAGCGACACCAGGGTGGAGTTGGCATTTACTAAGGGGTCCTGAGACTTTGATGCTTATTCCTGCCCAGGATTTTGATAATAAATTAAATTAGAACAAACCCCTCCTCCCATATTTCAGCCATTAAAATAGAATCTGTAATTGCACTCCTTTCTGTCTGCTGTGTGTTTGTGACATGGCCTTCTTGGGTTACTCTGGCAGGTACTCTGCTCATCCCACCATTCCGTGCAGGGGCTCTCAGACTGGGGCGATGGTGAGATCATGCAGCACATCACATCTCCTCCACCATTAATCTGAAAAACGCCTAAAAGTGATAGTTATGTTGTACTTGGCCTTCCGAGAACCAAAGGCTCTTCTCCCTTCCCATGATGGAGAGTCATGCATTGTGTTTCCTCTAAAAGCTGACCGTTCATCCTAGTGAAAAGTCCTAGTTTAAGAACCGACCCTGAGCTGGGTTGAGGTTTAGGATATCTTTTTAACATTGAAGATGTCAGGTACGGGGCTCCTTCCTTTTTAGGTACTTTCTGTCCTCATGGTGTGGGGGTCCAGAACTTGAGCTATATCCTGTAGGACAGCCCTCCAACCTTGCATGCTTCAGTCTCCACATCGTGCTACAACTGAGTTTCCAACAGGCCACCCAAGCACTGTGTGAGGGCAGATGTTCCTGGGTGAAGTTAAGGCTTGGAGGTTACACAGACCCGAGCTCATATTCAAACCTTGGTTGCCATAAAGAGTTCTTGGCCAAAACTGATGTTTTGAGAAAAGCATGGTGTTGGAGAAGTTGTTCATAATTCCAAGAAATGTGGCTCTTGTAGCACAAGTAATAAGGAGGAATATAAATCAGATCTTCAACATATGGCCACTGTTCTGAAAAATTTAAGAAGCCATCCGTGATGAATTCATGCTTGACACATAATGAGTGCATGGATGGGCTTAAGGAGGTATTAAAATAGTGCCTCTCGTTTGCAGAATTCCAGAAATGCTTCTCCAGGTAAATGAGCTGAAGGGACCCAGTGCCCTTCCTTCCTAGTCTCCTGAACCACAAGCGACTTCTGTTAACCTCACTCAAAGCCAGTGACCCTGGACAGAAGAGTGCTGGAAGTATTGATCTCAGCATCCCTGCACAAAGGACAAAGTGGGAGTCACAGCATGTTCTCATCACCTGCCATTCACCCCATTGGTGAAGGAGGGATCCCCCACCCCAAATGACATAAGAGGGCTGAGCAGGTATCACCCAGCAGCGGGCAGATGGGATGGGCGGCAGCTCATTACTCACATGGAGTGAGTGGCGGTCTGGGGAAGAGGGCAGGGCAGGACATGCAAGGCCACAGGGGGCTGTGCTCAGGAGCAAAGGGAAGCAGCAAGGGCTGTGGGAGGGAGGCTTTTTACTGACCAGAGGGTGAAGTTCCTGCTCCCTTGTTCCCATGCTGGGATGTGACTGGTGTGCTTGGGTGGGTTGGTGCAGGCAGAGGCCTGAAGCCTCTTTGCTTGAGGACCAGGGATCGTGCAGCTGTTGCAGCCGGTGTGGGAACTAGCTGGGTGGGGAGACTTTCCCCATGGGCAGGGCACATGTCTGGTGACAGCAGGGGAGATCATGGCCAGGCCTCTGAGGCCCTGTGAGTCTCAGAGCCATCAAGGCCACACATGGAATTTCAAGCCTTGAGGTACACAGCAGTAGATGAAATCACTGAGGAGAGTGAATGAACTGAGAAGAGGAGGAGCCGGCAAAAGAATTGTGAAGAAAGCTGAGATCTGAAGAGTGCACTCAGCAACTGACAGCAATAAGGCAGCCAGGAAGAGGGAGAGGTGGGTGTACACTACACCAGCACATTAGGAAATAGCTTGATGTTTTAATGAATTAATCTGTTCATTGACAAATAAAATTGTATATTTTTTATCATGTACAACCTGATGTTTTGAAATGCATAGTCCGCGTGAAATGGCCAATTTAAACTAATTAACATATGCATCACCTCACATACTTATAATTTTTTTTTTTTTGGTGAGAACACTTCAAGTATACTGTCCTAGCAGTTGTCAAGACTACAATATATTGTTATTAACTGTAGTCATCGTGCTCAACAATAGATCTCTTGAAGTTTTTCCTCTTGTCTAACTGAAATTTTGTATCCTTTGATCAACATGTCCCCAACACTCTCCCCACACCAACCCCTGGCAACTGACATAATATTCTCTGAGTTCACATTTTTGAGATTTCACATGTAAGTGAGATTGTGTGGTATTTGCCTGTCAGTGCCTCCAGGTTCCCCCAGGATGTAGCTTGATTTTTTTTCTTTTTTTGGTGTATCTACAATGCAAGAAATTTTAGATCATCCTGGCACTAGTGCTATCATCACTCTTGCTCTCACTATTTCCCCTACAGACATCTGCTTGCCATTTGCCTCTTCGTTCTCAGATGCATGGCCTGTCGCATTGGCTGGGGATGAGCTAATATCTGTGGGATTGCCCACAGGTGGAGGCAGTTTACAACTTCTGCAGAATTGTTTTCACACTCAAAATCCACCACTAACCGTATTCATCAACTTTCTTCTTCTAGTTGTAAATATCTCTTCCTTTCTTTACTAAGCCATAAAAACTGGGTTGAGGAGTATTTCTACTTAATGCCTTAAAAATGTTGTTTCTGAAAAACAGTAGGGCAATTTCATTAAGTAAAAAAAAATACCGGTGTATTGTAGTTCGAATATTAAAATTAGATTTAAAAATCCACAAAAAATTATTAAAACTTTAAAAATTAGGAAACCTTTTGAGACCAGCCTGAGCAAGAGCAAGATCCAGTCTCTACGAAAAATGGAAAAAATTAGGCGGGTGTGGTGGTGCATGCCTGTAGTCCCAGCTACTCAGGAGGCTAAGGCAGGATGATCACGTGAGCCCAGGAGTTAGAGGATGCGGTGAGCTTTGATGACGCCACCACACTCTAGCCCAGAGTGATAGAGCAAGACTCTGACTCAAAAAGAAATTATTAAACCTGTTTGCAGCTTTATGTCCATTTATTAATTGGTATAATAAATCTATTCATTAACAAAATTAACATTTATTAACAAATTACTACAAACAAAATTTAATGAAGTAGAACACAGAAAATTCTTCCATTGCAATGTAAAAGCATATTCCAGAGGAATGAAAGAGACTTTAAAATGCTCCTACATTTAGTTTAGGAATGGTATGCCAACAAATCTAGCCTAAGGGTAAAAAAAGGCAAATAAAACTTCAATGTGGAAGGTATTTATTACAGCATGATTTAAAATAGCCAAACTACAAGAAAAAGTAAATATTCTGTAATATATGAGGGAAATATTGGGACATTTTCTCTCACTAAGTGACATCTGTAATGTGGGTTTATATGCAGTCATGAAAAATGACAGTAGCCACTGACTGACTCCTTTTCTCTGATACCTGCCCACTGCACACACATCCTTCTTTCTGTTCGATGTATCACTGAATCCCCAGGCCATGGCTACTTGGTTTGATACTTGTCACCTCAACTTAGTTGAGTATTTCAGGTATTTTTCCTGATAATTTTGGAATTTTGAACTAGACCCCAAAACTCTGTGATTTTCTGCTACTTCTCATTGCTGCCATTTCTTTACAGAGAACATTCATTTACAGCACCTACTCTTGAGCTATCCTCATTTCTGTCCTTGTGAAACATGTTCGTTGCTTTGCTTTTTTGGATTTTGTAAAGTAGTTATGTCCTTATAATTAATTTATTTGCTGTAAAAGTGCCACATTGTATTATATGCAACAGATACAAGTGTTATCAAGGGAGCTTGTGGTTCTGCAACGTGCATTGTCATGTGTAGCAGAGCAGAGCTCTGAAGAATATAATCTGGTGCATTGAGGACAGAGTCTTCGTGGCAGGCATAGAGGTTTCCTGGCCAGGATGTTTTGTTCCCTTTGTAAAGGGAAGAATGTTAGTAGCTACTATAAAAATTCCCTGTAAGAAGTGGTCCTTATGGCCACCACATGAGGTCACAAATACATTTTGGAGGATTGAGGAGGTGTTTCAGAAATCTACTGAAACTTCTAAGGATAAGGCAGATGTGCGAGGACCAACATGGTCCTGCAGACAATCAGTTCAGAAGCCACAAGAACCTGAAATGCAGTAACGGGCACACAGTTAATTCGTGGCCAAGCCTGCAGTAGAACTTTGGTCCCCTAGTCAGAGGTGTTTTCCATTACACCACACAGCCTGGCTTTGAGGAGCCGGAAGAAAAATAAATAATACAGCATGAGAATTTTTGAAATTGTCTCTTCTAAATACTACCGTGTTCTACCCACTGTTTGTTTATTATTCTATAGGTTACCTTTGAAACTTAAAAATAGACATCTGTCATTATTGTCAAATATATGTCAAGTTTGACATATATAATAAAAAATAGTATGATTTCAGAACCTTAAAAGAAGATCTTAGAATAAAAAAAAAATTCAATATGTGCCCCTAATACACATTAATTGCCCTTAACAACAGAAAGTCCTCAATTCTTAGGACTTCCATCCATTTTTAAGACACACCATTAATTTAATAATGGAAATTTAAAGTACATATAGCTTATCATTGCCTTCTTAATTTCAGAAATGTTATTGTATTAAAATAAATCAGCATCTTGGCCAAGTGTGGTAGCTCACACCAGTAATCCTAGCACTCTGGGAGGCGGAGGTGGGAGGATTGCTTGAACTCAGGAGTTTGAGACCAGCCTGAGCAAGAACAAGACTTCGTTTCTACTAAAACTAGAAAAATTAGCCAAGTGCAGTGGCCTGGGCCTGTAGTCCCAGCTACTTGGCAGGCTGAGGCAGGAAGATAGCTTGAGTCCAGGAGTTTGAGGTTGCAGTGAGCTATGATGACACCACGGCCCTGCAGCTGGGGTGACAAAGTAAAACTGTCTCAATAAAATAAACAACCAAAAACAGCCTCTTGAAATACAACAAAAACTGCTTATATCCCTTATCTAATTATCTGGTTTCTGTTTTATTAGATACACATGATACTGAAAATTACTTTGAAATATCTTTGATGGTTTGGTAAAGAAATGTTCACCTGTATTATGCTGTAGATTTTTTTGTAAATGATGGATAATGGCTTTCAAATGATTTTTAGTATCCTCAACATCTTCACTTCCTCCTATAA